CTAATTTTTTGTATTTAGTAGAGACAAGCTTTCACCATGTTGATCAGGCTGGTCTCGAACTCCTGACCTCAGGTGATCCACCTGCCTTGGCCTCCCAAAGTGCTGGGATTACAGGTGTGAGCCACTGCGCCTGGCCAAGACAGTATATTTGTGTTGTGTTTTTTACCAGAAAAAAAAAAAAAGAGAGAGAGAGAGAGTGGGGCTGAAGGGGAGGTGGGTCCAAGAGAGGGTCTGTGCCTCAGTTTCTCAACATGGGAGCCGAGACAGGGGTTAGGTTTGGGGGCTCTTTCTCACCTCTTCCAAAAATCAAATGTCCAGTATTTAACCAGTTGCAGACCCTCCTCTGAAAAAAACTCATTTCTCTGTCGGAATCCATTTCCTTAGTTGTCCTCAGATCCTCCAATCTCCCCCTTCACACTAAATTGCCACAGGCAGAGACCCAGCTCCTGCTGAACAGCAGTCCATCCTCCTAGCTGGCTTCCCTCCCAATGCTTGGCCCAAGTCCCCGGGGATGGCTGCATATTCTGAGGGACCATTGTCACTCTCACTCATACTGGTTCAGGTCTCCAGCTGCAACCAACACTGACTAAAAGGGACACTACCCACCTGGCCTTGCCCCCACTGTGCCCTCTAAGGGCAGCCAACCTGGTGTAACAGATGATTCTGGAGGCTCAGGGAGGATGGAAGTGTGCCTCTTTTATTTTTGCAGGACTAACCTAGCATTTACCATGCGCTAGGCACTGTGTCAAGTGCTGCATGGTTAACCTAGTTAATCTTCACCACAACCTACGAGGTAGATTTTGCAGATGAGAAAAGCAGGGTAGGCGAGGCTTCAGCAACTCTCCTAAGGACTCAAAGCTGAAGGCAGGCGTGCCAAGGCCCAAGTGCAGAGAGCTTAATTTGAGTGAGGTCCTAACATGGGGACAGCAGAGGCCAAACCTGAAGGCCACCCTCTGTCCACGTTGCATCGAGATGCTGGGTCTGTGTCACCACCAGGCCCCTCCTTGGTGTTCCTGAGCCCCATCCCCAGTCTGCTGCCCTGCTCAGCCTTGACCACTCATTCCCAAATCCTCAGTGCCAGCTCTGTGCTAATGGACCGAAATGTTTGTGTCCCCTCCAGAATTCATATATCAAAGCCTTACTCATGGGCATGACTGTATTTGCCCTTATGGGAGTAATTAAGATTAAATGAGGTCATAAGAGTAGGACCCTGATCCAACAGAATTCGTGTCAGCCAGGCACAGTGGTTCACGCCTGTAATCCCAGCACTTTGGGAGGCCGAGGCAGGCGAATCACCTGAGGGCAGGAGTTCGAGACCAGCCTAGATGACATAGTGAAACCCCATCTCTACTAAAAATACAAAATAGCCAGGTGTGGTGACAGGTTTCTGTAATCCGAGCTACTCAGGGGGCTGACGCAGGAGAATTGCTTGAACTCAGGAGGCAGAGTCTCGGTAATGAGCTAAGATCATGCCATTGCACCCCAGTCTGGGTGACAGTGTGAGAGTCTGTCTCAAAAAAAAAAAAAAAAAAAAAAAAGAATTCATGTCCTTACGAAACAGGATTTGTGCCCTTGACCTTGATCCCCTTCGTGGGCAGGAACTGGAGTGGCTCATTTACCCTGCCTGCAGTTCCTGAATGGCTACGTGTTAACAGCTCAGAGAAGCGTCAGGGTGACAGCCTCCTGCACCTGCCCTTTTTGATACTCGAGTTCTTGTTCAGTGCCCAGGAAGAATCAGGTCACATGAGCTACTTGAAGGGTTGTGTACGCAGAGGATGGGTAGTGTATGCAGAGGATTTTATTGGGTGACAAAAGTGGCTCTCTGCAGGATGGGGAATTGGAAAGGGGATGGTATGAGAGGAAGGTGGTCTTTCCCTGAAGCCACAGCATCTGAAGTCAGCCACATCTATCTGTGGTTGAAGCTCAGCTGCATGTGTCCCCAGGCTTAGCAGCTTGTTTCCCTGCTGGTCAGCTGCTTGTGTTGCTCTTTCTTCCAGCTGGTCTGGTTTTTATGGGTACACGTTAGGGGGTGGCGAGGGCCAAAAAGGCAATCATTTGGGCAGAAAAACAGGGCCAGCGTTTTCACTTAGGGTTGAAATTCCAGGTCTGAGGCTGGGGTTTAACTGGGAACCCAGCCGTTCTGTATCACTTTAAAAAAGTGACGAGAGTGCAACCTCTCTCTCTCTCCCCTCCCTCATGCATACAAAGAGGCCATGTGAGCACAGAGCAAGATGCAGGGCACCCAACAGGCCAAGAAAAGTGGCCTTAGAATGAAACCTATGTTGCTGGCACGTTGATCTTGGGATTCCCAGGCTCTAGAGTCATGAGCAATACATTTCTATTGTTTAAGCCCCCTCAGCTGTGGCATTTCTTTATGGAAGCCCAAACTGACTCCTACAGGGACACAGATCCAGACCCCAACACTGGAGGAGGGAGAGGATGCAAATCAAACCTCCTTAAGTCCCTGTCAAAGGACAACTATGGGCTGGGCTCAGTGGCTCATGGCTGTAATCCCAGCATTTTGGGAGGCTAAGGCAGGAGGATCTCTTGAGCCCAGGAGTTGAGACCAAGTTGGGCATCATTGCAAGACCCCATCTGTAGAAAAAAAAATTGCAAGGTGCTGTGGCGTGCACCTGTGGTCCCAGCTACTTGGGAAGCTGAGGTGGGAAGATCACCTGATCCCAGAGGTTAAGGCTGCAGTGAGTTGTGATCGCATCACTGTGCACCAGCCTGGCTGACAGAGCGAGACCCTGTCTTTTATTTATTTATTTATTTTTGAGATAGAATCTCACTGTGTTTACCAGGCTGGAATACAGTGGCACTGAAGCAGGAGCGGAGGGGAACAAATCTCTCGAACAGCAGATGGAGGAAGGAAGTGGCTTTTTATTTGGCCAGGAGCTGTGGGGGGCTACAGCCTCATTCACCCAGCTCCCGGAGCTGCAGCTTCTCTCCCCTTTTATAGGCTTACAACGCTAAAGGGGAAACTGAGGTGGAACTATGTTATTGTTCATTTGCTGGACATCCGACCTTACAATTTCTTGGCTTTATTGATTTGCTAATTTATATGCAGCATGATTGGGGAAAGGCAGGGGAGGGGGCTTACAGAGATAGGATAACAACAACAAGCTGTTTGTTGGCAGAGGTGTTTCCAGGAAGGAGCCTGACCCATGGAGATATGGGGTGTGACCCAGTGTTGGGCTCCAGCCGGCAGAGATAGCATTCATTTGCAACTCTTTCAAGGTTAACAGATAGCAGAGATGCTGGGAACCAAAAAGGGAGTCATTTCCCCAACTCTTTGGTATTTTATTTTATTTTTTCCTTCCTCTCCTCCTTTCCACTTGGAAGTGGGGGAGAGAGGAGGTGAAATGGAAGGAGGCAAGGGAATCTCCCTTTCAGCACGACCTTGGCTCACTGCAACTTCCACCTCTCGGTTCAAGCAATGCTTGTACCTCAGCCTCCTGAATAGCTAAGATTACAGAAACCCACCATTAGGCGTGGCTAATTTTTGTATTTTTAGTAGAGATGGGGTTTCATCATGTTGGCCAGGCTGGTCTCAAACTCCTGACCTCAAAATGATCCACCCACCTGCCCCTCCCAAAGTTCGGGGATTACAGGTGTGAGTCACCACACCTGGCCAAGACCCTGTCTTAAAAAAAGAAAAGAAAAGAAAAAAGCACAACTATGGCAGGGCTGCAAAGGAGGCAGGAGGAGGTGACAGAGCAGAGGGCTGAGGGACAAGAGGAGCTGACTATGCAGAGAGGGACTTGAGAGCCTTCTGGGCATCGAGCACTGTATGTGAGACCAAGAAGGAACTAGAGGGCCCTAGACCATCCAGACCCTGGTCCTCCACTGGCCTCGAGAGAAGGGGAGTCCCTGTCCACTGACCCTAGCATCTTGCTCTGTCCTGGCCACCCCAAACCAAAGACTGCACTGTTCCACAAGGTGAAGCCTCTCCCTGCCTCCAGCTTTGAGCCCGTCCCTTTCCAGCTCCAGCCGCTACAGACCCCAGATCTGGAAGGGGGCTGGCCACACTGGGGTCTCTGGGTGGGGCCGTCTGGGCAGGCCTGGGGTCTGAGACGGGATTTCCGGACATAACAAAGGAGCTCAGAAGCTCCGGCAAGTTGTGCTCTGCAGACAGCCCAGGTCAGGTTCGGAGAGGAGCTGCCAGGGATCCTGCAACACCCACCCCACCATTGCTCTCCTCCAGCCCCCAGTTCTAGCACCTTGGCCCAAGTCAGGCTTCCTTTGAGAAACCCAGTGGCCCTTTCCTGCCACCTCTAAAGCTCTGCTCAAAACATCTTTGTCTGAGGCTGGTCCTGCAAAGCCACAGCCCCGCCTTGGCCCTGTTAATTACTCCCTGGCTAAGCCTTGCTCTCTCCTGGACCTTTAAGACCCTAGTCTCCTCCCTCAACCCCAGTCAGCAGAGAGGGCACCAGGCTGTGTGGGTGAGAGCAGGCCAGGGGTTGTGGGGGCAGGCAGGGGCAGCAGGTGGGTGATGGGGGAGGGGAGTTAGGATGGGAGAGGGGGAGGTTGGGGAGAGGGTGAAGACGGGGGAGGGGGAGAATGAGGGAGGGGTGAGGATTGGGGGACTGGTGAGGATGGGGGAGAGGGGTGAGGATGGGGGAGAGGGGTGAGGATGGGGGACGGGGGTAATGATGAAGGAGAGGTGAGGATGAGGGAGGAGGTCAGGATGGGGAAAGGGTGAGGATGGGGATGGGAGAGGGGTGAGGGTGGGAGGGGGTGAGGATAGAAGAGGGTGAGGAAGGGGGAAGGGGTGAGGATGAAGGAGGGGGTGAGGATAAAGGAGGAGGATGAAGATGGGGGAGGGGTGAGGATGAAGGAGGGGGTTAGGCTCTAGGGCAGGCGTCCCCAAACTTTTTACACAGGGGGCCAGTTCACTGTCCCTCAGACCGTTGAAGGGCCGCCACATACTGTGCTCCTCTCACTGACCACCAATGAAAGAGGTGCCCCTTCCTGAAGTGCGGCGGGGGGCCGGATAAATGGCCTCAGGGGGCCGCATGCAGCCTGCGGGCCGTAGTTTGGGGACGCCTGCTCTAGGGCTTCTGTTGAGGCCAAGGATGCCCAAATTTCTGGGTGGTGAGTGTTGCATACTTGGCCAGAGGTGGTCACCTGGGGAAAGAAAGAAGGGTATAATTATAGCCTGGACCACCAGGATAAGTCCAAGACCCACCAGGAGCTGAAAGACCACAGAGCGGGTGAGGAGGCGGGGTGGGGATTGGTGCCTCTGGGCCAGGACGCTCCTCTCTCCTCCCTGCTGGCTCCAGACCAGCGTCCATGTCCTGGGCAGTGCCGCCCTTACCTAGCCCAGCTCTGAAGACAAAACGAGGGTGGCTTCCTGTCTCCAGGTCCTGCTCCTTTTGGTGCTGGGTGAGTGAGGACAGGGACTGGGGGTGAGGGCTGCAGACACCTTGGTTCCCAGGCCTTCCATCTCGCCGCTCTCTGGGCTGGGCTCCCTGAAGCACTCTTGGGCTTTCTAATCTCAATTCCAAGGGCTCAGTCCTCTCTGCCACAGACCTTGGCCTCCCCACACCTCTAAGTGCTTGTTGGTGTCCTGGTAGTATGTCCTGACCCCCTGCACCTTCACAGTGCTTTGGGGAGGGTTAAATAAGGTAACAGATGGCATGAAAGCCGGGCACAAGGTCAGGGCAACGTATATGTTTCACCCCGCTTCCTAATCTCTGGCCTCCCCTCCAATCCCGTTATTTGACACCAAATCCATAATCTGGTCCCTTCCCTGCTTCCTCCTCCAGGATCTGCTGGGACTCAGGGAAGGAAGTCTGCAGGTGAGGAAGCCTTGGAGTCCACCCAAGTCAGCCCCTCCTGGACCTCGGCCCATGCTTCCCTGCCCACACCTGCCTCCCAGGCCCCTGGTCCTCCGCCAACTCTCGCCACCCCTGGTTCTTTTGCAGCCTGTAGGCAGCCCCGCGTGTCCAGTCGGATCATGGGGGGCTGGGATGCCCAGGATGGAGAGTGGCCGTGGCAGGCGAGCATCCAGCATCGTGGGACACACGTGTGTGTGGGGTCGCTCATTGCCCCCCAGTGGGTGCCGACAGCGGCGCACTGCTTCCTCAGGTCAGCGCTCGCCGACAGCCCAGGCGGGGTGTGCAAGGAAGGCAAGGGCCTCGGAGGACAGGGCGTGGCCTGGCAGAAGCCCTGGGCTCGAGGCAGGCTGGTAGAGGTCGAGGACCCGGTGCTGGAAGTAGCCCCCGACTCCTGTCCTGCAGGAGGGCACTGCCAGCTGAGTACCGTGTGCGCCTAGGGGCGTTGCATCTGGGCCCCACCTCGCCCCGCACGCTCTCAGTGCCAGTTTGACGGGTGCTGCTACCCCCAGAACTCTCCGAGGATGGGGCCCGCGGCGACCTGGCACTGCTGCAACTGTTTCACCCAGTATCCCTGAGTGCCCGCGTCCAGCCCGTCTGCCTGCCCATGCCCAGCACCTGCCTGCCACTTGGCACAATGTGCTGGGTCACTGGCTGGGGCAGCCTCCACCCAGGAGGTAAGGCAGGAGGGTGGGGCATGGAGGCACCAAGGAGCCCCCACCTCCTGCTCCATCTGACTGGAAATCCCAGCCCCTCGCTGCCCCAATCCAGGACCAAGTGCGGCTTCTAGGGACCCAACCCTCCTCTCACTCAGAGCTCAGCTTCTCCTGCTGACCCCTGCTCCATGCCTTCCTCTCAGAGGTTCCTCCTCTTTCTCCAGTGCCCCTCCCAGAGTGGCGACCGCTGCAGACAGTAAGGGTGCCGCTGCTGGACTCTCACACCTGCGACCGCCTCTACCGCATGGGTGCCGACATGTCTCGGGCGGAACGCATTGTACTGCCCGGGAGCCTGTGTGCCGGCTACCCCCAGGGCCACAAGGACGCCTGCCAGGTGTGCACCCAGCCTCCAGACTCCCATCCCTGTGCCCAACACCCTGCCTCCCTAAAATCCAGGACCCAGGATATACCAACTCAGGCTCAAGGTTGTGGTCCCCAACCCAGAGGCACCACCCTAGGGGTTTGGAGCCCAGAGAACAGTTCTGAAGTCACGGGAGGACTGGGATCTAAGTGTCTCTTTCTCCTGCAGGGTGATTCTGGAGGACCCCTGACCTGCCTGCAGTCTGGGAGCTGGGTCCTGGTAGGCGTGGTGACCTGGGGCAAGGGTTGTGCCCTGCCCAACCGTCCAAGTGTCTACACCAACATGGCCACATATAGCCCCTGGATTCAGGCTCACGTAAGCATCTAATGCTGGCCCGTGAGGCTGACCTGGAGCCAGCTACTGGGGTCCCTCAGGCTCCTGGTTCATTGGGGACCTTCCCATATCCCAGATCCCTTCTGCCTTGAGGCCAAGATGCCTAATAAAGCTAAAGGCCACCCCACCTTCCTGCCCACCACCTCCTGCCTCCTCTCCTTTTTGGGGCTCATCAGATCAGACTCTACCAACCCTCATCCAGGGATCCGCCATGCGTCCTGGGGGTCACACTTCTTGCTCCCTTCCTGGCTTGTATTACGTTTTCTCAGCCCTGGCCGGGGCTGGGCACAAGGCACACAGCAGTGGGCAAACCAGTTGCTACCCATTGGGCCTGTGTGCCCATCTTTTTCTGGAGAAAGTCAGATTGACAGCAGGACAGAAATTTGACACCAGGGAGATCCTCCACAACTGGCTTTGAAGACAGGGGACACAGACTGTGAGCAGCCTCTATCTAGGAGCTGAGAGCAGCCCCTGCCAACAGCCGGCAGGGAATTGGAACCCTTAGACCCACAGCCGCAAGGCACTGGATTCTGGCAGCATCCCGGAGGAGTTGGGAAGTGAGTTCTTCCCCAGCCTCCAGATAAGAGCCCCGCTGGCCAATCCCTTCATTTCAACCTAATGAGACCCTTGGCAGAGAACCCAGCTGAGCTACCGGACTCCTGACCTACAAAGTTGTGACTTCATCAAGATGTGTTTTAAGCTGCTCCATTTGTGCTGATTTGTTATATAGCAATAAAAACAAATATAGATTTTGCCCCACTGTGATGGAGGTGTCCCAGTGGAAAGGTGGGCTGGCCAGTGTGGTCACCTCCCCACGTATTCCAAGACGCTGGGTACTTGGCATCACGCCCTCAGCCCAGGAGGGATCAGGAGCCCCCAGGCAGGGCCAGATTCTGTTATTATTGTGCCTGGCCACCATTCACTCCCAGGGTGGGCCTGCGGCCCTGGCCAACCCACACACACCTATACCTGATCACCGACAGGTACCCAAATGCAGGTCCTTGCTGACCCTTGGGGTCCCCTTCCAGCCTGGTACCCGGCATCCTGTCCTCTCTCTGCCATGTACTTGTCTCCAGAGCCAGGAACACCGATTTCAATAGATAGAGGTCAGTTTCCACAGCTACAGAAGGAAAAGAAACTGAACAAAACCTGGAAAATTCCAAGCCTACTCTGGAGCTGACAGGGACAGTCGGCAGAAGAGAAGAGAAGACAGGGGAAGGCCAACTTCAAAGGTGCAGCCCCTTGACACCCAGGCACAGACCTGAGCCTCGCCTCCCTCCCCTTTTCTCCTGGGGAGCCAGGGAAGTGGGTTGTACTAGATAGCAAGGCTGGGCCAGGCCAGGTGGGGCAGGGAGGGTGCTGAAGGCTGCTCGGTCCCCTAGGTGGAGAACAGGCTATGCTTCAGTAGAGCCTGGCCACTGTTGGTGGGGTCATCAGGGACCAGGTGCCCAGGACAACAGGGTATGGCTATGGCAGGCCAGCCTACAAAAGACTGCAGGCCCAGCTAAGGCGGCAGGGGGAGTGGCGCTGGGCAGGGGAGGGAGGATCATCAATGAGAAGAAATCATGACCCTTCATCAAGCCCTCACCAGACATGTGCAGAGGGAGGGCTTTATTGCATCAGCTCATTAAATTCCCACAAGAGCCTCTGTAAGCTGGTTTGTCCCCATTGTCAGATGAGAAAACCAAGTCCCAAAAGTCACACTGCCGGTAAGCTTGGTAGACTGGGACTCCAGTCCATGCAACCTGATTCTGGGAGAGGCAGAGGTGGTCTGCTCTCTCCACTTCCTCCCACTCCAACAGGGCAGTTTCCCTGCACCCCTCCACTCGGCCTGTTCCTGGCATGGTAGCCTGTGGTGCCAGTCAAGTGGCAGCTCTTCTCAGCCCCATGCAATTGACCCTACAGGATGGGGCCTGTTTCCCTATCTGTAATCTGAACTGATAACATGGGCTACATTCTCAGGATGTCTGGACATTTTTCGGGCCTGCTGGGAGATGTCCTGTATGTCCATAAATATTTCATAATTGGAGGTCACCTTAGAATGTGCCTATTTTAGGCCAGGTGTGGTGGCTACTTTGGGAGGCTGAGGAAGGAGGATTGCTTGAGCTCAGTTCAAGATCAGCTTGGGCAACATGTGGAAAGCCCATCTCTGCAAAAACTCTAAAAATTAGCCAGATGTGGTGATGCATGCCTGTAGTCCCAGCTTCTCGTGGGACTGAGGAGGGAGGATTATTTGAGCCCAGGAGGCGGAGGCTGCACAGTGAGCCAATATCAGGCTATTGCACTCCAGTCTGGGTGAGAGTGAGACCCTGTCTCCAAAAAAAAGAATGTGGCTATTTTCAAACAGCATGAACCTTATAGGTGCCTTGTGAGTGCCTAGCTACACATTTTAAGATGGAGTCATGCCAGGCGCGGTGGCTCAAGCCTGTAATCCCAGCACTTTGGGAGGCTGAGGCGGGTGGATCACAAGGTCAAGAGAGCGAGACCATCCTGGTTAACATGGTGAAACCCCGTGTCTACTAAAAATACAAAAAATTAGCTGAGCATGATGGCGCGTGCCTGTAATCCCAGCTATTCAGGAGGCTGAGGCAGGAGAATTGCCTGAACCCAGGAGGCGGAGGTTGCGGTGAACCGAGATCGCGCCATTGCACTCCAGCCTGGGTAACAAGAGTGAAACTCCGTCTCAAAAAACAAACAAACAAAAAGATGGAGTCACTCTGGACTCTGGTTGTTTTATTAAACCAGAGGCCTGGTAAGCAGAGGTTCTTAACACCCTCACACCAAAATCACAATCATCAACACAGAAGACTCCTGTGACCAACTGTGGTGGCGGTTTTTCCCACACACACTAGGCACTGGACACCATACGGGTGTCCTCTGATTCAATTCCAAATCTATCTGCCCAGAGCCAGCATCAGGTCCCATAGGCAGGGCTCAGACAACTGCCTCCCCATCCCCCAGTCACAAATTTGGGCTCCGGAACTTCTGACCAACTGGCTTCAGGTTGGCGTTCCCTTCACTCTCCTCTTAGGGTTCAATTAATTTGTTGGAGTGACTCACAGAACTCAGGGAAACACGCTCACTGGTTTATCATAAAGGATGTTACAAACGATATGGATGAAGGGATGTGTAGGGCGAGGTGTTGGGGAGGGGCACAGAGCCCCCATTCCTTCCTGCGGTGTCACCCTCCAGGAACCCACAGGAGTGGAGCTATCCAGAAACTCTCTAAACCCTGTCCCATAGAGTTTTTATGTAAGCTTCAGGACAACAGCATTCCTTTTCCCACGAAGAGGGCAGGACCCTTTCTGGGGAGGGTCTTAAGACTTCTAATCAGAAAGGCCCGCAGAAGATAAGCGTCCTGCCTTGGGCATGTGAAAGGGAGGCGAGAGAGAGAGCGTTCCCCAAGGTCTAACACACCCTAAAGACACTAGGGCCTTCTCCATCATACCACCACAGCCGGTCTGGGATGGGGTGTGAAGGGGATAAAAGGTAGATGGGAGAGAGCAGAAGACAGACTGCAAGGCAGTCTCTGACTAAAGTCTGTGCAGTGGGGAGGTGAAGGCTAGTTGAGGAAAGGATCCCAGGAGGACCTTCCCATGCAGAGAAACAGGTGCAGCTGGCCGGTTCCTCCCCACCACTGGACACTCCCATTCCTTGTTAAGGCCCTTAAGGAGAACCTGGACCCCACAAGACCACATTTCCAAAAGTAACTGGAGACCCCAGACTAGGCCAGCAATTGGCCCTGCTCCCCCAAAATCCCTCCTGACCTCATTCCTACTGCAGGAGGTAACACTGCACTGAACAACTCGATGGTCTGTCATCGCCTAGTGTAGTTACCCCATGGGGGGACAGCGCTGTAGTGTGTGGAGACCACCTCTGGGGGCAAGGACTTGTGTTGTGCTGGGTCCAGGTGACCTCTGACAGCACACAGGCACCATTCACCGCAGCAGCTGGGGAACTGTGACTGCTCACCCAGCATCAGCGTATGACTGCGAATGTTGCTGTATGCATGAGCTGATGTGCAGGCATACTCCCTAACATCCTAAGAGTTCCACACTGTGTATCCCCGTTTGATGGGAACGCCAGGTTGTAGGCCCCAGGTCTTGCTGGTAGGAGCTGGAGTTTGAACCCAGGTGATCTGCTCTCTAGGGGACAGGCCCTATGGTTCCTGGTGGACATCCTGAGGTGGGGCATCAGCTGTGACTGCCACCGCAGGCAAGGCGTCCATGCCCTGGTCTGTGCCAATGAAGCCTGGACAGAGTAGGGATCCAGGCGTCTCCCTGTGGAGACAGCCACTCACGTACCTACACCCCTTGACTTCTGGCTGGGCTGCTAGGCTGCAGACAACTTCCTGGCCCCCACCGTCCATACCTTTCCTTCTTCACTCTCCCTCCTCACAAGCATAGGATTTCAAGTTGCCAGTTCTACGTACATAAAGACGCTGGGATTATTTAATTGGAGACAGTCTCACTCTGTTGCCCAGGCTGGTGTATAGTGCCAAGATCTCAGCTCACTGCAATCTGCACCTCCAGTTTCAAGCAATCCTCCTGCCTCAGCCTCCCAAGTAACTCGGAGCACAGGCATACATCACCACACCCAGCTAATTTATTTTTATTTTTTTATTTTTAGTGGAGACAGGGTTTCACCTTGTTGGCCAAGCTAGTCTCGAACTTCTGGGCTAAAGTGATCCACCCACCTCAGCCTCCCAAAAGGCTGGGATTACAGACGTCAGCCACCTCCCCCAGCCAGACACTGAGATTAAGAAGGAAATCTTTTCAGCCTAGCCTAGAGCTCTTACCAACAATTACCTGTCCAATGCCTCATGACTCAAGTCATGGAGCAGAGGCAGGTTCTGCAGGGTCTGGGATGATGAGGACCCTGGGAGCAGGAGTAGGGGCTGCAGTGAAATGCAGTGAGGGCAGTCACACTAGGGAAGGGACTTCGGACGACTCCCGAGGGAGGAGCCACAGAAGTAACAATTAACTGTAATTACAGTTCAGAAAACATCAATGCAGCGCCAATACGTGCCGAAGTTCTACACAGTTCACAAACTGTTCCTCTCCTATCTAGAAGAGAAGGAAGCTGAGCTTTGATGGGGTTAAAGGCATATGGCCGCAGTCAGCAGGGAGGCCCGGGGCTGCTCCTTAGCCACTCTAGATGCCCAGGCAGCAGCGGCACTTTCACGTGCCGCCCACTCTGAACAGCCCTCAAAGCGCAACTCCGAGGACTGCAGCGCGGTGGGGTCCAAGGCCACCCTCTGGCTCTTCTCTCGAACGCCACCTCCATCGCCCGCCCAGCAACGACCCAGCTTCTGGTGTCTCTCTGCAGGGGAGTGGTCAACTTGGTGAGCGGGCCCTTGCTCTCGTGTAAATGCAACTTGGGGCGATGCAGGACAATATCCAGCACCTAAACAAGGGCGCCTTGGTGGAAGGAGCCGCCAGCCAGGAAAATCAAGTCTCCAGGCCTTTTCAGAGACGAAATGCAGCCAGGCGGGAAGGCCGACAGGCGCCCCGGGCTCCTGGTGCGGGAGGCTGCCCCTTCCCTGCTGAGGAGAGCGGTCACAAACCCTTCCCGTGCCTCCTCTTTTAGCCCAAGGAGTTCGCCCCTAAGCCCAACAGCAACCCCAAGGGCTCCTCACAGGTCATAAGCCTCTCTGAGCCGCGACCTCCCCTAGCATCCAGCCCGATGCAGGCAACGGGGCGACTGAACCCACAGCACAGCGGCCAGAAAGGGCCCAAAATGGAGAGCCTGTCCAAGATGGGTCCCACGAATGCCCCGTGACAAGGCAGCCCCGGGCTCGCCGTGACCACGCCTGGGGCCCACCGGACCGCACCACGCCACGGACGGAACCTCGCCCCCGCCACTCCCGAGACGGCACCACCGCCTCCTACAACCAACCTCAGCGCCGAGATGGCGGCCGCACGCCCCTCGGCACGGCCCGCTTCCGGATCACTTAAAATGGCGGCGGCCCAAGGCGGGGCGGCCCAAGGCGGGGCTGCGCCCGGGGAGGCGAGACGGCGCGGGGCATGCCGGGCTGCGCGCGGGCTGCCGGGAACGGGGCGGAGCGCGGCCGCGCCGGCGCGTCGAGGGGAGAGGCAGCCGCCGCGATGGTGAGCGGGCGTGGGGGAGGGGCGGCCGGGCCGGGCCGGGGGCGGCGGGGGGCTGCTGGGCCGCGTCAGGGGCCGGGGCTTTGCCCTCACGCCGGCCCGCCGCCCCCAGGACGTGTTCCTCATGATCCGGCGCCACAAGACCACCATCTTCACGGACGCCAAGGAGTCCAGCACGGTGTTCGAGCTGAAGCGCATCGTCGAGGGCATCCTCAAGCGGCCGCCCGACGAGCAGCGGCTGTACAAGGTGGGTCCCGCGGGCGGGCACACGGGAGAGGGTGGCCGGCGCGGGGCTGACGGCGACGCTGTTCGCGATGTAAACAGTGGCGGCCGGCGACGCCTGCGGGCGCCCGAGCCGCGGGGCTGGGACATCCGTTGTGCGGGTGAAGCGCGAGCAGCGCTCGCCGCGGGGATCTCCGGTCCAGGGGCGAAAGTTTAGACCTCGTGCCGGCTCTCGGGCGCCGAGGGCACCGTGGCATCCAACCCCTGCAACGGTACCGCCCGCGCCATGCGGTTGACGAAACTGAGGTTCAGCTTGGTCGTTGAACCAGCCGAAGGTCATTGGCAGCGCCGGGGTCTGAACCGCACGCGACCCCTTAGTCCCCAGCTTTCTCTGCAGGCCCATCGGAATCACTCTGTCCCCCCGGACGCTACTGGGGGCGAAGGGTAAGGGACTCAGCTGATGCAAAGAAAGTCAGGTCCCACTCGTTTTTCACCCAGCGACCGTTTGTTATTAACCTCCCGATCTCCTGCTACTGTTCTAGAAGCCCCGCCTTTCCCCTTGCAAACAAACTGCGGTTATTCAATCAGAATGGCTTGGGGTTTGGGGTCTGCATTGGAGAGTCAGATGCGTCAGCCTCTGATTTCAGTGCACTGATCAAATTCTAGAGCTGGAAACTGGGAAACTGACTTTTAGCTCCAAACTCAGAGCCTCATCTCCCGTAGTCCCTAATGGCCTTTCCTCACTGATAACTACTGGGACTTAGCTAATATTAAATGACCCTGCCTGTGCATGTCCCATGGGGGACATACTTACTTAGTGCTTTATGTTCTTCATTAAAACCTTCTGGTGGCCCTACGAATTGAGAATTCTGGTAATTCCTAGTTTACAGATGATGAAACTGCATCAAAAGGCTCAACTACCAGCTGGGTGTGGTGGCATGGTCTTGTAGTCCAGATGCTCTGAAAGTTGAGGCTCAAGAGAATCACTTGAGCCCAGGAGTTCCAAGCTAGAAGGGGCTATGATAGCGCTTATGTAGGGTCTGTGCCACTGCATGCCTGGGCAAGATAGTGAGACCCTGTCTCTGAAATACAAAAAAAGAAAAAAATGTTCAAATTCCTTGTCCAAGGTGGCAGAGCTGAGATTGAAACCCAGGTCTGCCTATTTTCAGATTAGCTAAGTGGTTCCTCAGATTTGCCTGGGGAATTTGGATAAAACCATATACTAAAGCCCCACCCCAGGAGGTTCTGATTTAGAAGTTCTTGGATATAACCCTGGAATCTGTGTATTTGATAGGCATCGTGGTGGTCCTGGGCCACACTGAGGGCCCTCCTCTGACTTCCCTGTAGTTGCTGGTCAGAGGTCTTTGGGACTTGCCCCACATGGGGCCTCTCCCAAGATCCTACTTATCTCCTCAGGATGACCAACTCTTGGATGATGGCAAGACACTGGGCGAGTGTGGCTTCACCAGTCAAACAGCACGGCCACAGGCCCCAGCCACAGTGGGGCTGGCCTTCCGTGCAGGTGAGAGGGGCCTGGGCTGGGTGGCAGCCAAGCAGGTTGAGAACAGCCAAAGAGGGTCATCAGGGAGCCCGGAGTTGAAGCCTTCAGGACAGTGTCTTCCCCATGCCTGAAGGGCTGACAGTATTCTTTGATAGTGTGTTTGTCTCCTCATTAAAAAAAAAAAAAAAAAAAAAAAAAAAAAGCAGCAAACAAATGAGATGCTTATGGAAAGCGAAGCTTATTTCCCAAAGGCAGCTCACACTTACAGGCGACTGAGTTACCTGGCTTTGTGAGTCACTGTGTGTTGCTTCCACTGTCCCATCTCCTCTTCTCAGTCGCCCTGAGGGGTCCGCATACCATCATCCCTGTTTTGCAGATGAGGAGGAAGGCTGGCCGGGCAGTCACGTGGGGAGCCATGGTTAAGAGGCTGCCAGGCCCTTGCTGGAGTCAGCATGCTAGGCTGTGTTGTGATCACTGAATCCCTCTGCATCTGTGTGGCTGAGAGTTGGATTTTGCGTTTTCAGGTTCAGTAAAGTGAGCCCGGCAAGGTTAGGCCACCTCCTGGGACTCTCATGTCTAGGAGTCAGATCAAGAGCCTGTGCTTCCATCTGCCATACCCCACCCCTGCCCAAGCTTTGCAACCTGGGGGTTAGGAGTGGTTTACTGCTCACCAGGGTATTTTCTTCCACCCAAGATACAGGGAGGGGAGATTTAAAATGTTTTCTCTCTGGGAATTTGAACAGAGGTTATTAAAGAGCTGTGTTTTCATAGCTGTAGACCTAGCTGCTGTGTGGATGGCTGAGAAAACTTGGATAAAGTTAGGAATTATTAATATTTTTCTGCCTTGTAAGAAAACATAGCAAGAGCTGATGAGGAAGAGTACAGTCCTAGCTCCACCTTTCAGTTCCATAAATTCAGGCTAGGTCTCAGCCTCAGCAGCAGTATCCTCTGGCCAGTTACCTTGCCCTTCCACCCCTCCTGGCCCCAGTGTTCCCTTGTCCTTAAAGGGGTGTGATGAGACTAGCTTCACCCCAAGGAGGTGAGTCCTCAGGCACCCCAGGTCTGGCCCACTGCCAGTACCCAACAGACGGGAAGCTTCAGAGCCTTTCTGTGAGCTCCTTCTGCCCAGATGCTGATGTTAGGAGTCAGGCGCAGGGCTGGCACAGACATACAGGTTGCGCCCTGTACAGGGGTGCATTTTTTTGTTTTTCTGTTTCTGAGACAGTCTCACTCTGTTGCCTAGGCTGAAGTGCAGTGGCATGATCTCGGCTCACTGCAGCCTCTACCTCTGGGGTTCAAGTGATTCTCCTGCCTCAGCATCCCGAGTAGCTGGAATTACAGGTGTGCACCACCATGCCCAGCTAATTTTGTATTTTTAGTAGAGATGGGGTTTCACCATGTTAGGCTGGTCTCAAAACTCTTGACCTCAGCTTACCTGCCTACCCCAGCCTCCCACAGTGCTGAGATTACAGGCTTGAGCCCTGGTGCCTGGCCCAGGGTGTCTTTCTGAAGAGGGCAATTGAGTTCTGAGAGGTCTGCTTCCTGAAACGAAGCTGCACTGCATTCTCCCAGTAGTGTACCCTAGAACTTTGAACAGTGGTACCCTAGAAGTTTGCTGTGACTTGGAAGGTACTGATAGACCCATTTTGCAGGTGAGAAAATCAAGGCTAAGGAGGGTGACTTGTTTTTCCCCCACAACCCTTAGTATGGCATGGAATGTAGTGGTGGCTCTGGAGCCCAGGTCACATCATCCCTCTTGCAGATGATGGCTGTCTTGATGGGGGCCCCACTGTGGACTGCTTGCAGAAACACACTTCTGGGTGCAGCTCAACCCATCATGTTGTTCCCAGGCCTTGACTGGGTGCCCCACCCTCTGCCTCCCAGTGTTTATGCACAAGGATGAGACACAGGCCTCCCCACTCTCTCAAGCTTACCACTCAAGGAGGTAACTATCAAATTAAATGTTAAAGGGCATTGTCCAGGCTCACTGCCGAAGAATGAGGGAGGTAGTGAAGGCACAAATTGTCACAGGTTTGTGGCCTGGAGGATGCATTAGACTGTCAGTTTCTGAACCTCAGCACAGTGGGCTCCTTGGGCTGGAGTGCTGTGTGGGTTGCTTTGTGCACCATAGCACGTGGAGCTGTATCCCTGGCCTCTACCCACTAGATAGCACTGAAGCACCCCACCTCCCCAGTTGTGACAGCCAGAACTGTCACCAGGCATGCTAGCTTTCCCTGGGATGCCTCATCAATTGAGCGCCCTGAGCCAGGTATCGATGGGTCTCCTTGCTGAAAGAAAGCACAGGAAAAAAAGCTGTGAAGTGGGGTTTGTTTGCTGTGCGTTGGGGTGACAGTAGGGACAACATAGGGAAGATCTTGGCCTTCCTGGCGCCAGTCAAAAGAAAGGGCAATTTGTCCAGTGTTAAGTGCCCCCATGCCCAGGGTGTCAGGATGTCTTGACTGTTGGGGGTGGGTGGACTGGAGGTTCATCTGAGGTGGTGACCTGAGTTGGACCCTGAAAGTCCGGAAGCAGCCAGCCATTCTGAGTGCTGGGACCAGCAAGTGCAAAGGCCCGAGTTAGGAAAGAACTTAGCGTGGGAACAGAGAGAGCCAGAGCCTGAGCGCGTGGGAGGTAGAGGGGGAGACGAAAGGCAAGGACGCGATGGTAATTTGGGGCATGATGGGAAGTCACTGGAAGGTTTTAAGTAGCGAAGGAATAGTCTACTTTGATTTTAAACTAAGGAAAAAGGATGTGAACGGAACAAAGAGATTAAGAGATATTTTGGGTGAAGAGTGATGTTGGCTGCAGATGGTCAGCCCTCAGGCTTACTAGTGGACATGGAAGATGAGGAAAGGGGCCCCAGCATGGTCAGTGGAAGGGGCTGGGGGAAGGGGACCATGCTTAGGTTGGGCCTATAGGGGTGGGAGACATTGACATGGGGCCACTGAGGCAGCTGCAACAGGGAGGTCAGGGCTGTGGAGACCAACTGTGTGGACGAGTGTTCACATGGAGATCGCCAAAGCTGCATATGATCACACATGAACACCAAAGTCCCAGGATACCCCCCTCCAGCTCTGCTCCTTCCCTCACAGAGGACACCTTTGAGGCCCTGTGCATCGAGCCATTCTCCAGCCCGCCCGAGTTGCCCGATGTGATGAAGCCCCAGGACTCGGGAAGCAGTGCCAATGAACAAGCCGTGCAGTGAGGACCCGGAAGAGGCCCATTCCCTTCAATAAAAGAGATTTGGGAGTCTGCCTGGTTGCTGCCTTTTTTTTCCCCAATCCTCCCTGGGGGACTCCTTTTGGGGCTTGTGTCTGCCAGATCCTGGCACCCTGGGTTGCCCTGAGACCCAAGCCATTCTTAGCAGCCACACCAATCATAGCTGTGAGCCAGCCTCAGTGATAAAGAGATTCCAGTTCTAGGCCTTTTTCTCTCCAGGTGTCATCTACCCCATACCCTGCACGTCCACTCCCAGGGGCCACTTTTCCAGTGTCATGGTTTGACAGCATGTTCAATGAGGGAAACCCAAGGTGGACTCACGCTGGGGCTGCAACCAGGGAAGGAGGTGGCTTTCCTGTCACCACACCTAATAAAGAGCCTACAGACCCAGTTCCTGCATTTCTCATTTTTATTTGACAGAAAAAAGTTGCTCTTGCTGTACAGATTTTAAAAAACCAAAATGCCTTTAAGAAACGTGAAAAGTTGGGGGGAGGGGTACACAACCTCATGGGGGGCAGTAGGAACCAACTAATTCCAATTCCTGCCCCTTCCAAGAACACCTCTCAACCTCCAGTCCCAAACCACCATCACCCCAGGTACTTTTGGATACAAACAGGGCCATGCCTCCCTGGCCCTGACTCCAGGCTGGGGTGTCTCAAAGTGTTATCCTCCCCTCCCCCAACTCCCATCTGTATTCCCTCCCACCCCAACCCCCCCCAGAACACGTGAACCAGGAAAAACTCACGGAGATTAACATTTCACAGGAACAAAGAAAAAAAAAGGGGAGGGAAAGGGAGCCCTCCATCCAAGGGCTGCCAAGGCTCAAAGGGGGGCAGACAAGGACCCTCCCACAGCTCTGCTGGGGACGAAGGGACACTCCCTGTGGCTCCAGAGCATGGGGTGTGGTGGAATCCCCCCGAGACGATTTATGGAGACCTGCAACAGAAGATGGAGGTCAACAGGGAGGCCCCACCCCAGTGTGCCTGCTTCTATGCCACTCAGAACGGGGCTGCCACCCACCACCACCAGAACTGGCTCCCAAAGTGGGCCTCAGCCTTCCAGGAGAATGCGCACCTGGAGGAACGGTGTCGCAGGGGTCGAGGACTAGGTGTCTCCCTCCTTCGCTTGTGGCTGGGGGAGCGGCTGTCCCCACGCTGGCCTCTCCGGGAACCCCGCTCACTGCTGCTGCTGCAATACAGGACAGACATCAGGTCAGAGGGTAGCACCAACCTCAGGCACCACTGAACCCCAAAACTTTCTTTGTAGAAAGCAGTGGCCAGACCGGGCTGGGTGCTGACATCTGCAGTTGGCCCTACCTCTGCTGGTCCCGTGGTGAGGGCTGTGGCGAGGGACGGCGACGCTCCACAGGTGAATAACTGAGGGACCGAGAGTCCCTAAGAGAGTCTATTGGCTTCCGGGGGCTGCGGGACCTGGGGAACACAGTAGGACCCAATAGCACCACACCCTTTCAAGCCCACCGGCCAGCACTCAGGACCACCCGCCCAGGTCCTGACCACCAAACCTCACACCACACAGGGCCAGCCTCAGACCCACCTTTGTCCGCTCACTCACCCATCCGCCCGCACACCATCCACCGAGTGCCCAGTGGGCAGGCACAGGGTGCAGCGGGGGATGCAAAGATAAAGACAGTCCCTGCCCTTGAAGGAGCTCAGTGGTGAAGAAAGGCACGCACGGCCCCATGTGTGGGAAGCAGGGCTGGATGTGCGTGGCTCTGGGGACCCAAGGGAGAGGGACATGGGGCGGGGCGGGGAAGGGGCAGGGGAGTCTTCTCGAAGGTGCTGTTTGAGCGGAGTCTTGCAGAACGAGGAGTTCACCAGGCGGACAAGGAAATTCCAGGCAGAAGGAACAGCATGTCCAAAGGCATGGGTTCTCCTTAGACTGCAAGGCGCTGGGTGTGGCTGGAGCACAGGGCATGTGTGGGGGCGGGCAGGAGCAGAACACAGGGTGGGCGAGGCCCGTTGGTGAAGAGCCTCACACGCCACTCCCGCAGAGGTGGGGCTTTGTCCTGCAGGCCACAGGGCGTCCCGAAGGATTTGTGGAGTGGAGGGAAGTAGCCAGATGTGCGTTTTAGAAAGGTCCCTCTGGCTACATGTGGAAGAGGAAGGCGTGGAAGCGGGGAGACAGGGAGGAGGCTGTGGACAGAGTCAGGAGATGACGACGGTGGCCAGACCAGAGCCCTGGCAGCAGTAATGGGGAGACACTAGAACCCTGGGACCAGGCTGTGTGTTGAGGGAGGGAGATAAGAAACCAAGGAGCCCCCAGTCCTGGCCTGAGTGACCCTGTGGATGGCGCAGCCCTTCGCCAGAACAGGGTGCAACGAGCAGGAGGAGAGGAGAGCAAGCGCCTCCTCCCCCACAACCAGACGCCCAAGGCCACGTGAGACACCCAGCAGGGAGGCTCACACCCCAGGACCCGTTCTCTGGACAAGTCACTCCCCCACCCTCCTTCAATCTCAGGCAAGGCAGCACTCACCTCCGCTCGCCAAGGGGTGGCTTCTTGGGACTTGCAGGTTTGGGCAAGGCCTGAGGACCAGGCTTAGCAGGGGAAGGGGAAGATGAAGAAGAGGAGGAGGAGGAGGAGGAAGAGGAGGAAGAAGAGGAAGAGGAGGAGGAAGAGGAGGAAGAGGAGGAGGAGGAGGAAGATGAAGAGGAGGAGCTGGAACTGGAACTGCTAGAGCGCCTCTTCCGTTTGGCTGGGGTTGGCTCCGGAGGACGTCCCTCTCGAACAGCCTCCTTTGGGGCTGGGGTGGGGCTGGGGACCCTGTGGGAGGAGAGGAGTGTCACAAGGAGACAAGCTACCCCAGCCCCAACCCTACCTTCCTTGGCCTGGAGGAACGGCAGTGGGGGAGGGGTGCCTGAGCAAGGCGCTGGGAGCTCTCCGAGCCATGTGAGCCAGCGATTCTCTGGAGAGCAGTGGTGCGAGCTGACCCAACCTCTGCTAACAGAAGCAACAGGCTGGGGCCCGCAGCATAAGGGATCAAGGTTAAACCTCAAGAATGTCCCTGATGTAGGAATAAGGCCTCTGGGCTCAGGTGTGGAAGCTGAAGCTGGGTAGTCTCCTTCCTCGGAGAGCCGCAGCTTGGGGAGGCCCCTGTGAGTGCAGGTTGGCTGGGGAAGGGGCCGTCCTGCCTGGAGGCAGGGAGAGGGATGGGATGACCTCTGAAGATCCTTCCAGCCCAGGGAGTTCCTCTTGAGGTCTAACTGCCATCCCTCCTGCTGTAAAATTAAGTCCATTTCCTCTAGTTCTGTCCTCTGTAGAGACGGAAAACTTATCATTATCCTCTAGAGAATGAACCTTTGGAGACTTTTATCTGTCCCATTCCTCCCCCCTCCATCCCCACCCCCACATTCTCTTCTACCCCCAGCTTGAGGGTCAAGGTCCCCATACCTCCTCCAAGAGCCAAGCACCTGTAACATGGTTGCTCCCTCCCGCCTCCCCAACCCACCCCCAATACCTCCCCCCCAAAGGTTTCTAAAAGTCGAGCTCCCTCACCTCTTCAGTGCCACCTCAGGTTGCACAGGAAGGCTAGAGCCTTCCGAGTCACTAGAACTGGAGCCAGAGGAGGAGGATGAAGACGATGATGATGAGGAGGAGGAGGAGGAACTAGAGGACGAGGAGGAGGATGACGAACTCCGCCGCTCCTTTGCTGGCTGCAGGGCGGCTAATGCAGAAGGCTGCTGGGCCCCAGTAGAGGCAGGTGGTTCCCCCCCATCAGAGTGGGACACCCCAGGGGCAGTGACAGAGAGCATGCCATTGTGGTCACCAACAGAGGATGTGGTGGTTGCCACTGCCCCAGAGGAAAGGGACTGAGACCCTGCTATGGGGGTGGTCTGGGCTATCAAAGAACGGGACTGGTCTGAAAAAGCAGAAGGCACAGGAGACCTCGGCTGATCCTGTGCTGGAGGAAGAAGAGACTGTGAAGGTGCCTGGCCCATTCTAGAGGAAGGGGAAGGAGCCCGCTCAGAGGTCATTCTAGACTGGCTTGGTGCAGACGGTGGTGTTCTGGACCTGGCTCGGTCAAGGAGTGGTGGGGAGGTTCTGCCACTGACACGCTCGTAGGCAGAGAGGGGCACCCTGGGGCTGGTGAGATTTGCACCAGACAATGCTGGAGCCATCCTAGCACTGGTGAGGCTGGCAGGGGCCAAGGCTGCAGGGGTTCTGGAGCCGGCAATATTCACAGGAGCTGTGGCATGTGCAGACCGAGGACCCACCAGGTTTGCAGAGGCTGGTGCCTGCGGTGTTCTGGAGCTGGAGGGATAGTTTGCAGCAGTTGGTGGGGTGCCAGAGCCTGAGAGACTCAGAGCTGCCAAGGCAGCTGGGGTTCTGGCCCCTGCTAGGTTCACAGCTGGGGCTGTGGGGGTGCGAGGGTCAGCCAGGTTCACAGCCGAAGGTGCCACCGCTGTTCTGGGGCTGGCCAAGTTCATCGCTGCTGCTGCAGCTGGTGTTCGAGAGTCAGCCAGGTTCACTGCCGTTGGGATGGCAGGTGTCCTGGCGCTGGCTAGGTTCATGGCTGCTGCAGAGGCTGCAGGAATCCTGCTGGCAAGGTTGGCTGCCGGGGCGGTTCTGAGACTCATGAGAGGCACTGGGGCTGGAACCTGGGACATTCTTGCAGCAAGGCCAGCAGCAGACATGGACGGAGGAGGCCGAGCAGTGCCAAGACTAATAGCTGTCAGGGCAAGTGCAATCCTAGACTGAGCATGATTTTCTGGCACGGATGTTCTCTGGTGGTCAGGTATTCGGGGACCTGGACCATCCATCATGGAGCCACTGGCTTGCTGCAGAACAGACATGGGTGTTCTAGAGCTGCCAAGGGGTTCAAGCATTCCAGGTGATCTACAGCGGTCAAGAGGTGTTGGGGACATGCTAGGACGACTGAAGCAGCTCATTCTGGAGCTATTGAGTGCTACTGGAGGTGTCCGCGAACCGGAATGGTTTCTTGTTGCTGGAGGAGTAGCAGAACGTGAACGATCAGAACTACTTCCAGACGCAGAACGCCTGCGGATGGCTGGAGGAGA